TTTAAAGCTAATTTGGTTTATCCTCCAGTGCAGAGTTCGCTCCTCACTGAGAAAGCTGCAGTCGACACTCAATTGACAGACTATACAAATAAGATACAGAAGTGGCCAGAAACATGTAACTAGAAACACCACACATTGCATAGAATGCAATACCAAGTATCATTAACACAAGGATATGTGTTGCAAGAGGGGGGTTGACTTCACCGTGACATTTCCCTCTCAAAACAAGTGATTGCATTCACAATGTCTCCCACATCCATGAATCCAGCAATTCTGCCAGAACGTGTGTTGTACACAAGGTCCATCTTCACCTTCATCTTGTCAAGTGCCAAAGAAACATTGAGTTGATATTAAATCTGGGAGAGATGTCACGGTGATGTCCCCAATTATTTTTGTCAACATGTCTACATTGATACCAGTGCGAGGATTCCCAGAATGGGAATATGGGTGGAGGGTACTTGGATGGGGAAGCTGCAGAAAACTGCTGTCTCTGATGAGATTGTATGCTGATGTAGACTTATGATGTTATGCGATGCACCAGTGAATCAAGGCAGGATGCCATCTCATTTCTTTTCCTTTGGTAGCACTTTTCTTCTGCTGCTCCCAGAGAAGAAATCCTGGGGAATTTTGGCCCAAAAGCTTCTTCAGAGCACTGTCATTTTTCTTAATGCAGAGCTGTAACTCCTCATATTGGTCAAGAGGGAGCACTGTACCCTCTTTCACTACCATGCTGCTATCTTGGATGTCATCAAGGATACCCTCCTTCTGAGTTGACTCTTTTCTATGCTGAGCAGATTTGCTTTTTTGATGAGATCTTTCTGACTCAACAAATCATTCCTTGCTGAAGAGGTCGTGCTGACATCTATGTTGGAACTTTTTGCAGTGAGTCATCTGTGATCCAAAGATGCAAGATCACCTCTGTGATTTCACAAAACTTGGCATTTGGTAGTTGAAGCCAAACCATTTACAAACAGATCATTACGGTACACTTAATGATTTTTCTGTGCATGTAGGGATCCAGCTGGTGGGGGCCATCAGGTTGGGGCTGCAGGGCATTGCAGTATGCTGAGTCGAGTTATGTTGTTCTGCAAAACAAAAACAAATATGGAGAACAATTTTAAATTTTGCTGTTGCAGCATTGACTAGTAAGTTTTCCAATGTTCTCAAAGAGTGAGACCGAATTATACTAACCGTATACATGACCTCTTAAGTTTTATGTTAAGGAATTCAAAAGGATATCTTACGAGTCAGGACGATATCGGGCGGTGACAACATCTCCGTGAAAGGAACAGAGATCGCAAACATATTGGCATTCCTGGGGATCGGTGTCATCGTCGTCCCTGTCCTCATCGTCATCCCTCAAACCCAGCTCCGCGTTAAACCATGGGGCGTTCCTGCGAAAAAAAAAAGAAAATGCAGAATCAGAAAAGAATGCCTCGGTGCTTGCAGCACCACGTGACGAAAAAATCTTTGCCCCTTCATCAGAAATAACGAACATGTATGATCGAGCTATTGTACCTGTAATTTGTATACCGGACGTAGAGAGCAAACGAATTACAGCATAATTTTAAGTTGCTTTTCGAGTCATAATTAAAAACAATTCTGGAATGATCATGGGGAACTTACCGGTTAGTAAATGGATTTCGGAGATCTAAGTATTCCCTTGCAGCTGCCTGTACATCCGGCGTCATGTTTGGCTGGGCATTGGGAACATTGTCCACCATAGTGCTGAATGAATAAAAAAGCGATAACCACACTCAGTTGGGACACTTAAAAAAAAATCATAATTTTTTGTTGTCATCACTACACAGATATGCATGAGTATAATGAGCTGATGAGACCGACTCATGCATAACTAGGTTAAACGGAAAAAAAAGACAAAAGGCCACGAACAATTCAAGCAGGAAAATGCATATTTATTTCCTTACTACTGGTCAGTCATGCATTGCAAACATTATGCTACCTATATGTTTGCACAAATAGTAAAGAAACTAAGAATGAAACGAAAAAAAAATTGACGTTTTGGGTACACTTCACTTAATAAAACCGGTTGAACAAAAATCCAATGGCAAACAAGAAGTTACAGACAACTGGGCTAGTATCCTGTTCAAACACATACATAGGTAATTCAAGAAATAACTCGGCTTCCAGTACATAAGCTTGAACAAGTCTTTCAGGAGAAAACAGACATTTTCAATATTGTAAATTAATGAATGATTGCATCCGCACAAGAGTTAATCAATAAAAAACATGAAAAAGTTAAATGGGAATAACATCTTTATCAATACATTTCCACAGTTAATCTCCATCTTCACTCCAGACGGTGTTTATGAAGAAGATACATTACTTTCAATAGTTCCTAGGCAGAGTGAGATGCACTGATAAAAAATACCAAACCAAATCTAAACGTGTGTGTATAAATGTACACAGGAATACATGTATATGGAAAAAAGTAATGACACAAAAATATAACACTAAAAATATATAATATATAATACTAAATTACAGTTATACAACTCGACAGATATTTCGTTTGATAAACAACCTACTGTACATAAACTGTCAAGGTTTTCAATTAAGCGTAATTGGCAGCTGGATCATTATTAAATTTGATGAGGCAATTTGAAGTACAGGTAATAAAATCAAAATTAAATTTATCTCCGCAATAAGAAAATATGCAATTAAGTTAAACTTATGTCGATTGAGGGCAAAAAAGGTTTCAGAGAACTTTGTGTGACCAAAAACATAGCATTATTATTTGAAAAGCTGGAAAAAGATAAAAATTGGTGCCAAACCCCTTTAGCTTGTAAGACTGTACAGGGATGGAAGTACTACGATGCCACAAAATTTAAATGATGGCAGGACACTTCTAAACATAAATACAAATGAAATGCATTACCCAGTAGAGGCAGTGCATATGAACCATATACAAATAAGAAAAAAATGCTTACTCTGCCAAATGAATATACAGATCTGATACCATCAACAAGTACACATTAAAAAAGTCCTGCATCAACAAAAGGCTTCGGCTTCAAAAAAGGTGCATGTGTATTGTGATATTTTGGACTTCTTCCAAAGAGTCACCAGAACCACTAGAATCAGGCTACCCCACACACTGTTGGCACTTCTACATGCTGGAAGAATTGGATTGTAACCTTGTTCATAGCATAACACTGTGTATCTGTTTCTTCGAACAATCATACAATGAATGTAGAATAAGTGATGTGTCTTTGGCATAGCACAAAGGATTTTCTTGAATCTACCCAGCCAAACAAACGTTTGTTCACAACTGATGGTGTTGTCTTTCTCCTCAAGATGATCATCAGGTTGGTACCTGCTTCTGCATTCAGAATCTGCGTGGTTCTGAATGAGCAGACGATCAATGCACTGTCGTAGTTACAACTACATGTGTGACCGAGGCCATGAAAGTGAAAGCGGTTTACAGGCTTCGACCATATTATCTAAATGGCACATATTGTCATAGACAATTGCAATTTTGGTCCAGTTCTCTGGAGATATCTGCTGGTAAAATAAAGGGACCCAGGATAGCAGGATAATAAACACCTGTGATGGAGACTCATACCTGCATGTTAAATTCTAAAATAAAACAAAAAAAATAGAGAATCACACATACTCATAAGAGATATTCCTTCACATGGTGCTGCCGCAAGCCTTTCCACTCATGGACAGGTGGTGCGTGCGTTACATGCCTCTCTGACCAATAGGGATGGGAGTTGCAATATGTACGCGCGCGTCAAGCTGAAGAATGTGCGTGCGAGTGCAGTGCCACCACAGTTATGGCATGTAATCGAATTAGTCTATACAGCAGATGTACTTTTCGCACTGCAATTTAATCTGCTGCACCCCTCATCAATTGCTCGTATGCAATCACGCTTCCAGTACGAGTGAAACTTGATTGCGATGACTTCAGGGTGTTTAGCCACTTCCTGTTTCACAAACTTCATCCTTTGTGGATCCAAACGGCGTTTACCCTTGACCCCCTTACAGTTTCCCACCTTCATTTCCTCCTCCGTGAACAGTTTGCGAACAAGAATCAGAGCATAATTTGGTACAGAAGTGGCACTGTCTCTTGCTTCGCAACTGTCGCAGGAGAAAGAGTTGTCGATGGTTGCATTATGGGGGTCCTTGGGAAGGACAGGGCTGAGTGGGGTTGGACTGCTTTAATACTGCCAGGATGGCGGGATGATCCACTAGGGTGATCACTTCGGGAGCAGGAGGGTAAGATGGAGGGTTTGCTGGTTCGTCAGGTCAGCATGAGGGGAGGAAACTTGGATGGGATCTCATGTCCTGCATCCACCCCCAGATATTGTTTACTTGCTGTGCCAATCTTGTCAGCTTTGGGTCTTCTGGAAGTGTTGAGCTCACCCGTCCCTTGTGCAGCTGTGTGCTGCTTTGCAAAACTGGCCAAGGAATAGGGTCCTGAACACACACCAAGAAATACAGATGAACCCCATTAATCAAAACAGAACCTTGTGTTACCAGGAATTAAACGTATGAAGAGCAAAGGATTGGTAAGTAATATCCTTGTTGAAAACAGAAAGTTGTATTAAACCTAACCCTACCTAATACTAAAAATTACTACCCATAGTAAAAAATAGTATGTGGTACTCAAGCCTATTACAGAACAAAGGAAGTAGTAAAATTTAGTATTTGGTACTTCACCCTAAATACAATGCGTAGTATTTTTTGTGGTATGTACTGCTGCAGTGAGCTGCTAGTACTTTGTAATTTGTAGTAGTGTGTAATGCTACAGTGTGCCACTGGTACAGTATGTGATGGCTATTGTTCGTTATCATTTTA